CATGTCATGGCCCAACTGTGATCCAAAAGGGGTAGTGTGATTAAAGTTGAGATACCATAGGGAAAGACAGTTTGTGAAGACAGAAACAAGATGCAGTCCAGCTCAGAAAAAGCAATAATTATGTTTAATAGAAATAAAATGTGAGCTTCTCTGTGCATGTCCTTTCCAAATCACAAAAGACATTCACATGTATTACCTTATTTTAGGACTCACAAGGTGAATCAGTAAGCATTTGTACCCTAATTTCAAATATGTAAGAAGTCTCAACTAAGTCTGAAAGTCTGAGTGATTTACCCTGGTGAATGGTGAGCCACGGTGTAGGCTTGGATGTCCTGTCTCTGAGAACTGAGCCTTCCTCCATAACTTTGTGATACTTCCCATGGAGATATGACTTTGTAATACCTCCCATAATCCTCTTGGAGGTTCAGAGCATTGACAAGGAAAGAAGTCTACAGAGGTGACCAGATCTTTCTTCCATCCCCTCCTCTATCCCCATCCTCTGGAAACATCCTTCTGAGGCCAGCCATGTTCCCATGGCAATCACCAATGGTGCCTGTTCAGACAACAAATAACTGCAGCCTGGTAGAATACTTGCTTTTGTAAAACCTGTTCTCTGTCCTTTAAGGGGGTCACGGTTTAACAACTGGCCCTTTTATCGTAACAATTGTCTAATCAGACTTTCATTTTTTTCGCCACACCCTCCTTTTTTTACTGCCTCCCTCTTGTCTGCCTTTTCTCACTCTTTCCACTGCCTGCAGTTAATTTGAACAGTGTCAATTTGTGTTTTATTCTCAGCCTGAGAAAGACATTATACAAAGTGACAAGTCTAGCCAATAAAGAACCTATCCTACTGGTGGTGCAATTTGAAGGTTCTAGTATACACAGACATCTTTCCCTCCCAGCATTGTAGTTTAGACTGGAGAAATCCTAGAAAGCAAAATTCTTGTTGGGAGACCAGGAAGCTACTGCCCCACAACACAGTGGCACTGAATTGAAGAAAGCAGTTGAATGGTGCTTAACATTTTACAGAAGAACCAGTAGGAGATCACTGCTAGGCCACAAACCAGCAGTTCAGTTCTTTCTAGCATCCCTGGCAACAGCCTGCTATTTTCCCAGGTGGCTCCAAACAAGACTGGGAAATGCAGTAGCCATTTGTCATTGTCCCAGCTGCAACATGTGCATGCCAATTGGTGCATGCAGCCTGAGGCCCACTCCTGCCCCATGACTCCATCTATGCCTCTTGGCTTCCTTTTACCTGAGGGTGGGGAAATGTGCTCCCTTCTCTCCTCCTCCACCTGAATGAATGATGAGATCCACCCTTCCTAGGCTGGAAGCAATTCAGCCCTCCCCACCATGTTCAGAGGATGGCCTGTGCTCCATGTAATCACTTCCATCCCATTTTTCAATTCAAGGTCTGCTCTATATTGGGAGTGTTAGAACTCATCACAGACATGGCTGTATTATATCGCAAGGTTATTCTCTTGCACTGGTCAGGAAGTACGCCAGTGTGTTCTGCATGAGGGCTAGAGTGGACCATGTCAATCAGACCCTAAGTCTGGTGCAGAGTTGAATAGCGATAGCACAAGAGAAAAAGCAGTGCCTGCTTACAGGAAAAGCAGAGTAAGGTTGCCAATAATACCCGTTTTTGCCTTTGAGGGCAAAAAAAATAAAATGAAGTATATCATTTGCAAATGAAATTGTGGTATAAAATAGGGTTAAAGGAAACTCTACTTCTAAAATTGTCTTAAGGGCATTTTACTGTGTATTTAGAATATACACTTAGAATTACCTCCTTTGAAGGGGACTTAATGTAGATTATAAGTTTGTGAATTTGGGGACATTATTTGCCTGAGTAGACAGTCCTTTCGCTCTGGGCAGCCTAACCATGGACAACTGTACTTTCATCTTTATACTCTGTGTACCCTTTCCCACCTCCTTCAGTTCATCAAGTATAGGGAAGGAGCATTTGGCCTTCTGAGTTGGGAGTTATGCATAACCCGAAAATAGATTCTCAGAGTGCACCCAGACATAATGATTCCATGCTACAAGAAGGTCACTGTGTCTGCTTTTCCTGCCAACACACCCCTAGCTCTTAATCTATGGCTGCCTTGTGAAGCAAGAGTACTGTGCCAGGAAGTTACACTTTGTGACTGTGAGGCATTATGAGAATTTGAAATCATGTCAATGAGGTTTTTATAAAGGCAGGCCAGGGAAGGGGGGCTACTCCGAGTTTTAGAAGACAGTCTTTGAACCTCCTTTTGTTCTGTGGCCTGAGATTTAAAAACAAAAACAAAAACCTACCCAAACCTAGCTAGAATTCAACCTTATGCTATCAGTCCTACCCAAAATTAAAAAGACCGTTCACCAAAAAGTTTACAATGATGACATTGTGAGTGAGGTTTATTGTTTTCTTTGTGTTTTTTTGCACTTTGTATAACAGGTATTCTTCTTGCTTTGCAATGTAAAACAAAAAAAAATTAAACAAATCTTATATAAAAATCAAAACTGTATTAGTTGACTGCATTCCTGAGTGCTCAGTAGCTAGTATCACCAGCTTTGTGACTGTGGCATAGAACGGGCATTCCTCTGCCCTCATGTCAGGTCTCAGACCGGGACTGTCATATCTGCAGTTCTCTCCCCACTGCCAGTTTTTACAGTGCTCCTGAGAGAGGCCAGACCCCAGAGCCTGACCGGACTTAAAGCAGCCAAAGAGGACAGGAAAGGAAGCCCGCTGGATTACAGCCAGCCAGACACTTCACTGCAGTGAAGGGATTCCGTTCACATCCAATTGTCTCAGACAGGCAGGGCTGCTTGACATGTGCTTGTGGGAAGGGACGGTGTCATCTCAAGTTCATCTGGAAACACTGCTTCCTTGTCCTGACAACATCCAGTTGATGGCATTGTTGTAGAAGTTGAGGAGATCCTGTTTTCCAGACCTCTAGGAGTCAAATAAAATGTAACAAGTAGAGACACAGATCTGGTAGAAAATAACCCTTGAGGAATTCCAAAAATCCTCTTGGGGTTAGAAAGGATTTATTTAGACTTAGGGCCTTGACCACCCAGACGGGTTATTGATGTGAGCTCAGCTTGCCACCAATCCTGCTGCCTACTACTGAGCTTGGACTGGGTGGAAACAGACTATGCAGATCATGAAACTATGTCACGTCACCTCTAGACATAAATGTTCCCTCCTGCAAGTTTCTGTTAAGCCTCCGTTTCTTGCGTACCACATACAGGCCTAATATTGGATGCAATTGGGTTACTCACTTTAGTGAGTCTGAATGGTTTGAATTCGAAGTCATGATCCGAGCCTGGGCCACAGAAATTAGGAATAGAATTCCTGGTATTGTATATGGTAGATTGCATCTCGGGGAGGTAAGGTCCTTACTAAGAATGGATAATTTTTAATAGAGGGTAGAGATCTCATTCATCAGTTCTCTGTTCTCCAGTGTGTTCCCCTACTAGGAAGCAGTGTCCCTGGTAGTAAACACCTCTAAGTAATACACACAAAAGATTTGTTTCTTTATGCATGCAAAGACTGGAGTGTAGACCAGAGGTGTGGGCAATGAGAGGATTCACCAGAGACAGAGTGGGGAGCAGAACAGGCAGATCAACTGAAACACACTGATGAAAGGAACAACAGGCAAGGCTGTGGGAGAAGTCTGCTCTCCCACATGTGGGTTCGATCCTTGGATGGGGATTGAACTTGTGCTGCAGTGGCTGCAGATAGCTTGATAGTGCTGTGTCTTTAACCTCTGTGCCACCAAGGAGGCCAAAAAATCATATTTTTTTAATCTATTTATTGTGGTGTCCATCAGAAAAAGTATAACTGTCTCCTCAAACTCATCATTTCATGGATAACTTTAAGACTAGAATAGTTTTTTTTTTTTTTAAGATTTATTTATGTATACATATAAGAACTGGTGTATAGGCCACAGATGCAGGGGATGAGAGGATTTACCACAAACAGACTAGGGAACAGAACAGGCGGATGGACTGAAAAACACTACTGAGGAAAGCAGAGGGTGAGTCAGGAGAGGGGTCTGCTGCACCATGTGGGTCTTCTCCCTGGCTGGGGATCTAAATCATGCTGCAGTAGCTGCAGATAAGCTTCACAATGCTATGCTTTCACCCTTTGAGCCACCAGGAAGGACACTAAAATAGTTTTTGGGTTTTTTTGTTTTTTTTTTTTTAGATTTATTTATTTGCACATACAGAACTGGGGTACAGGCCAGAGGCTCAGGGGCAGTGAGAGGCTTCACCAGAGACAGAGCGGGGAGCAGAACAGGCAGATCGAAGAAGTACACTGCTGAGGGGAGCAGCGGGCGGGTCAGGAGAGGTCTGTGGCGCCATGTGGTCACCTCCGGGGCAGGCGGGAATCGAACTCATGCGGAAGTGGATTTAGTTTCTCAGTGCTGTGCTTCAACCCGCTGCGCCACCAGGGAGGGCCTTGTTTTGTTTTTTTTAAAGGAAGTTAATTTCAGGTGACTGGGGGAACAGAGATATAACAAAAGTTATAAAGGTGATACGCAAGTTGCATGATTCATTTTTGACAAACTGTTGTTCTAAAAGGGGCTGCCTGATCAAATTTCTTTCTCTCTCTTTTTAATCTAGTATCTCCAAGTGAAACTGCACAAAGAAAAAATTGCTTGTAGGAAAAAAATAGTTGTGAATGATTTCACAATGATTCTAGAAACTTTTAGAGTATCAACAAAAAGCTACTGCTTCTTTGGCCCACAGCAGAGCTGCTTGTCTTGCCATCAGATTTGACTTCAACTCCCAAATGTTTATGTACATCGACATGCTCGCCATGTTGTTGAGAACCACATCCACTGTTTCTTGTGGTCTATGTGTATGTGCAAATGTGTGTGCACTTGTGTGCCATGTCTACACTACCCATTATTTACCTTAAATAATGACATGATGATGTTGGTGGCCTGTTAATCTCCGTTTTCTGTTAACCATCCAGCCCAAGTAAACTGTTTTCTGATCTCTCTTAGATGGAAATTCTGTAGAATGTGGAAGCCATTAGCAGAGTAATTGCTGTCTGTTACCATGACAACCAGCCGCTGCAGTCACCTGCCTGAAGTGCTGCCAGACTGCACCAGCTCAGCTGCGCCTGTGGTGAAGACCGTGGAGGATTGTGGCAGCCTAGTGAATGGGCAGCCACAGTATGTCATGCAAGTTTCAGCCAAGGACGGGCAGCTGCTGTCAACAGTAGTTCGGACTCTTGCCACCCAGAGGTAGTACCACAGTTTAAATAAACGAATCCATAATTGATCCGAGGAACTCTTTGTCAGATGGAAAATGCTAAAGGGAATGTAATTAGTGCTCAAGTCTTTGTGTCAGGTGAGAAGAAGTCTTGAGAAAAAAAGAAAGACTACACAAGTTCTGTCGTCGTTTCTATAGCAATGGGGGACAAAGCTCAAACTCACACGGTCAAGTTTTCCTCTTAAAGTCATTCTTGCCAAGAGCCAGGAAAGAAAGGATTCCACAAGAAGCAGCACCCACTTACTTTTACATTTGTTACTTTGACATTGCTACGGTAATTACACTCTTGTTGTCTCTAAGGTGCTAACAAAGGTAGCCCTTTGTTAAATAGAATGAAGGAAGAACACGATTACAGGTGACTGGGCCAAAGTAATTGGATTTTCTGGGCAAAACTTCTCAAGTGCCATTCCTGGTATGAATGTTTAATGTTCCAGGAAGGAACTCTGTTCAGGGCTACTTTCTCACTGAGTCTCTTCAGTGGCACATCCCCAATTTGAAGGCCTCTTCTTTTGACTCCTCACATTTGATACCCATGAGTTGCTTTCCTTTCACACACATTCAGCTCTATGGAGGGTAACTGCTCAAAGTCCTAAAACTTGTCTTTCCTGAGTCATGAACCAAAGCAATGCTGAAGGCGCTGAGCAGCCCAGAGCCGACTTACCTGGGCCAGCACATCATTGCTGGGGGTCTCCTCTTAAGCAGTTGCTGCCCAGTGGCACATTGAAAAATACAGGCTGTCTAGCCAATAGGTATGCTTTTGCTTCTCCAGTTTTCTTCCAGAATGGGTAAATGGGATTTCGACCTATAGATATAAAAGTACACCAACACTGCACCAACTCCATGATGTCAGTGCTGAAACTCTGGCCTTGAAACTCTGAGTCAGTCACTCATACCTCAGTTTGAGCAAAAAAATTCAGACACCTGCTCCAGTGCAGAGAGAGGCCCACGGATCTCTAGATATTCCGTGTGGGAGAACTTCTGCTGGTACCACAGCATTTTCTGCTGCCTCTCAGCTTGACTCTAGTGGCCGCCATACTTGGACTCATGCTGTAGACATGGTCCATGTCCCTTCCATTTTCATCTTATGCAGCCATCACAAAGGAAAGAAAGAAAAAAAATCATATATATTTTTCCCACCTATCTAAGAACTTCTCACCAATAGTTAGGACTCATAATATGGTGAGGCCATGTAAGTCATTGCTCTTCTGGAAGTGAGATGATAAACTGTATGTACACCTACTACCCTTAAGTCCTCACACACTTTGTTTGATGAGAAAGAACAGGCTGGAAAGCTAAAATAATTAAACCTGTGCTCCTGTGTGTGTGTTTGTGTGTGTGGTGTTACTATGTTTTCTCCTATCGCGCAGTAATCTAAAGTAGATTTCAGAGTTTTACATGCTTATGACTCATGAGTTAAGGAAGCCAAGAATAATAAGAGGAAAAAATCAACTCTTCCAACTTTTTATTTTCTTCCCTGAGCATGTGTGGGAAGGAAATCCTATTTTGCTCTAATCTTCTCTAAGCCCTTACTCATTCCCAGGAGCATCCCTAGAAAACCTTTGGGGAATAGCACTGTTCCCAGGGCTGTTTCCTTTTGAACCAAAGCTGGTGTCAATGAGAGGAATGGGCTGGGTCACTGTCATCTTTAGGAAACATGGAAAAAGTCTGATCCCTGAGTTCATACATACAACAGTGACGTGTCATAAACCTGTTCACTGGAGAACAGCTGGTACAGTGTTAGCGAAGAGGGAGGTTCTCAGACAGGACACAGTATCCACTAAGAAGTAGTACCATCTTTTATTGGGCACTGACTTTATGTGACAAGGGCCATATTATTAGATTCTTTGTGACCTGAGTCTTTTCACAAACAAAAATAGCTCCTATAACCGGCACTTATCTTCTGGTCCCTATCCGAAGCTTCTAAGCCCCTATCTAGCTTCTAATATGGACCACCTTTTCTCATCCTCACAGGCACCACAAAAGACAGGTACCAGGCCCATTCTGAGATCAGGAAACTAAGATAATAAAATGATGATGTAACTTGCCCAAAGTTAGCCAGCTGGTAAATAGCAGAATTGGAGTTGCAGCCCAGGCTGCTGGACTCCAGAGCCTGCCTCATCAACCACTATACTAAACTCTGCAGGGTGATTTTCCTAAACTAGAAGCAGAGTTCTAGACTGAGGTCATCTCAATAGGGCTGCTCATTACTAGCTTCAGCTTACTGTCTCTGGTGTGCTAGAGAGCATCCTAGGAAAGCTCAGAGGGCCATCCTGTCACCCACCTTCGTGGTCTGGTTCACAATGCAGTCTTGTGTGACTCCCTCACATTTGACGGCCAGTTAAATCCCCCTCTCACCTCCTCCCTTTGTATTGAAAGGAGAAATAAGAAGAACCTCTGGATATAAAGCAGAATCCTGACCTGGTTCAAAAGACAGTTTGTCTAGAAGATACAACCAGTGTCATTTCAGAACAATCTCTGTTATTAATGGTGAGGGGTTGTTTTTATTTGTCAACTGGTAGTTTGTCTCAAGTACATCTCTGTTCACTTTTGGCCCTGAGCCATGCCTGGCTGCTTCGATAGTATCCACCCCATATTGTTCTGTGTTGGCAAAAGTAAATGCCTAAAGACCCCATCGCTGACTCTGTGTCTGAGAAAAAGTGTAGCTGTAGAGTGCTTATTCTGAACAACTGCCACAGGGGATGGTCCAAAGGACACAGAGCCCGAAGGTCATCTGTGTGGTGGTGGTTTCCAGCCCAGTGACAGCTGGTGCCCCTCTTTCTCTTGCAGCCCCTTCAATGACCGGCCAATGTGCAGGATCTGCCACGAGGGTAGCAGCCAAGAGGACTTGCTTTCTCCGTGTGAATGTACGGGGACCTTGGGGACAATTCATCGGAGCTGCCTGGAGCACTGGCTGTCATCCTCAAACACCAGCTACTGTGAACTCTGCCACTTCAGGTTTGCAGTGGAGCGCAAACCCAGGCCTTTAGTGGAGGTCAGTAATTGGGGCACTTCCAGAAAACAGCTCTAATGAGCAAATGATGTCTGCTTTTATGCCCAGGTCACAAAGCCTGTGTAACTTCACCGAATTTCGAAATTCGTGTGTGTGTGTGTGTGTGTGTGTGTGTGTGTGGAGTCCACTAGATTACTCAAGAACCAACCATAGAGATGTGTGTGTGTGTGTGTGTGTGTGTGGAGTCCACTAGATTACTCAGGAACCAACCATAGAAATATGACCTCCATGAGATAGAGACAAAAGAGTAGAAGAAACCAATGTGCAAAGAAAGTTTAGAGTCTTGATCTCCATTTTTCATCCCTGCAAAATGAAATAAAAACAGGTTAAACAGCTTTCTCTTTGCATCCCATCTACCTACATTGGTGCAACAGAGAAATGGGTAGTTGGGTTACGTATCCTCGATATTATGTAGTTTAATGGCTGTAGACCCAGATTTTCTGAATTTCAGTATTTCTTTGTCTTTGAGTAAGTTATTTCCACTAAAATAGCAGGACATTCTCTTTTATGTTTTGCGAATCATGTGATTCTTCTTTAGTCTAGGGTCTATTCTTTAAATAGCAGAGAAATTTGGGAGGAAGTCATTAAACTATTTTTGCCCTCTCTTCTATTTGTCCATTAAAAATTGGAATAAGGACCTTCCTTGGTGCACAGTGGGTTAAAGCACAGCACTATAAGTCTTTCCATAACCACTGTAGCACGAGCTCAATCCCCAGCCAGGGGGGTGACCCAGATGGCATGGCAGACCTCTCCTGACCCACTCACTGTGCCCCTCAGCAGTGCATTTCAGTAGATCAGCCTGTTCTGCTCCCCACTCTGTCTCTAGTGAATCCTCTCACCGCTCCCCCCATACCTCTGTCTTATACCCCTGTTCTTGTATGCATAAATAAATAAGTCTTTTCTAAAAATGGATATTAGTAAAAGTAAACATTCCATCATCTTATGAACCAGAGCTAGTTGAAACCTGCTGATAATAATCTCATTTCAAAAGTTGATTCAGTGAAATTTTGGCACTAAAAAGAACTAAAAATTGTGAAGCCCTTCTTGGAAATGATGTAAGACAATGTGTTAGCACTGGGGCACTAAGGCTCTGCAGAGTGTTTATATACATTTCACTTGGTTTTGACCCTGACATTTTTATCAGGACCTCTAACTAGGGCCTGTCTTAGCTATGACTTGATTGCCAAATGGCACACAACTTATTTGACTTGCCCTGATAGGCTCTCCGCTTTTTTTTAATACTCTGGATTAAGTGACCTCTTAATTTAGCTATCTTGCTGCATGACATTGACTTTCAGAAAGTCATATTTGTAGAGTGCCCATCAGAGGCTTGACCCTATGCCACATTCATTATGACTTATATTTCAGAATCTCTCAGAAAAGAGGAAAATAGAATTAAATAAATGAGATGATTTCTCAAGTCCAATGGTAAAATTTTAAAAGAAGCCTATTTCTCATTTCCAGAAACTTTTTGGTACATCCCCAAATTTCTGGTACAGCTTCTCCTGGGAAGTTGGCTTCCCAGAATAAGGAAACTCTGCTTTTAAATGGCTTACAGACAATGTTCTTGGCTAATATCATCCCAGTATGAGAGCTTTTACTTTTGCACGGAAAAATCCCAGTGTATATGGGCAAACTTATATCCAGGGGATGGGAGTTTGGGGGTGTGCACATGTGCATGTGGGGAATACATCAGTTTTTCTCACATACCTCAGGATTTTAGGAAACTGAGGAAACAAGGCAAATGACCTTGAGAATGTGTGAGGTGTTCTGCAAGATTTAGGGCCTCGCCTACAAAAACTTCCCCCAAACGGTCACTGGTGGTGAAATTTTCATTGCACAAATGGAATGTGACATTTTTCGAGTTAATGATGATTGAACAAGTTGAGAGTGAAAGGCAAAACTTTGCAAGCTGGAAGGGGGCTGGTGTTTGATCATCCCATGGCAAAGTGAACTTGCTGTTTGACCACAAGCAGTAAAAAGAAGTTGTGTTTGGTTTCTCAGTTGGAGGACAAATGAGTACCAGGTGCAGGCAGATTTTTAAACAGATGACTTTACTAATTGATTTTTCCCTTCTTACCAAAGAGCAGTTTTAATCATCAAAAGTATTTCAATATTGCATTTCAATATTTTTACCTCAGGTAAACATGAATCTTCTTGGTACATCAGCCAAACATGTTTATTGGGTTAAGTATTAGAAATAGTGTTACTTTAGTTCTCATTTTAAGTCTTTTAATTGTTTTAACCATTACTTTTATTTGCCAGTTGGATCTGCCTTCTCATTAAAACTAGAAATTCCATAACATTTAAATTCAAAATCGATGTGATAATAAAAGCTCCTGATTCCAGAGGAAGCAGTTGAAAAAGTCATTTATAAATTTTATTTGTCAGCATCTAGATATTAACAGCATTTAGAAATTGCTTTAATACCTCAGACTCCCCACTCTTCAGTAAATTCTCTCAGTCCTTCATTCAGCCTAACTTTGCTTCCTCCTTAATACCACCATTTTGAAGACACTTCTCTCATCATTTCCATTCCGCCACTGCCTGCTGCTAGCTGTTGGCTGTTCTTTTTTAACAGGTCAGGAACTAGGACTCATGTCTATACACTAACTGCTCTGTCTTTGATAAGTTTTTATTTCTCCTCCCTGCAAAAGGGCTAGTTTCTACTCATAATGGTCAAATCAATACCCTATTTTTATTAGCACCTCCAAAATAGGCATCACCTCTCTACTTTATCACTGGTTGGTGTAGGTCATTTTCTCTAAATTGCAGTATGGGGGATGAACTAGAGACACTCCATTATATATTTGACTACTGTAAGACTTTAGTATTTATGCACAGCTACATTCTACACTTAAAATTAGTACATTGTATGATATACAATTTATGCCTTAAATTGTGTGTGTGTGTGTGTGTGTGTGAAAGTGTGCATGACTGCGTGTAAGTACTTAAATATCCACCTACCTGGTCACACTAAGTCTCTAAAAATCTTTTGGTAAGTTCATGGCCAATTTTTTTTTTAATTTTAAGATTTATTTATTTGTGCATACAGAACTGGGGTATAGGCCAGAGGCTCTGGGGCGGTGAGAAGCTTCACCAGAGACAGAGCAGGGAACAGAACAGGCAGATCAATGAAGTACACTGCTGAGGGGAGCAGCGGGCGGGTCAGGAGAGGTCTGCCATGCCATGTGGTCACCTCCCGGGGCAGGCGGGAATCGAACTCATGCGGAAGCGGCTTTAGATTCTCAGTGCTGTGCTTCAACCCGCTGCGCCACCAGGGAGGGCCTCATGGCCAATTTTATACCCTAAATATTTTCTTTGCCAGTATTTCTAAGCTAGTATAACAAGAGCTAGTTTGAACCCAAGAGGGCTATATTGTGTTCATCCAGTGTATTCATATCTGGGTGAATTTCCTCCATAATCCAACTTAAATAAATCTTATAAGGTCTGTGTCCAATCAGGCAAAACTTGAAAGGATTTAGATTATACATAGCAAAAGGGAAAAGCAGATAGAACACATACCTTTTATAGCTCTATAGCTAGCACTGCTCCTCATGAAGGCTACATTTTTTTTGTTGTTGTTGATTATGGAAAATATATTTCCAGTGGCAATTTGTCAGGTGTATTAGCCCCAAGAATAATGACCTGCTCAGATGCAGTAAATAGACATCCACAACACATAAAGGGATTCACCGAATGTCCAGCATGGGTAGTTTTATGGTTTCCTTTGTGCTCATTTTTAGCTTTCCTCATTTCTCTCTAAGTTGAACTCTGATACCATTCTTTTATAACAAAGAAAACAATAAAAATACCATGATTTGTTGCCCAAAATGTGTGCCTTGACTGCAACCTATTGCCATGATTGCATATCTGATTGAGCAGTTTGCCAGGGAAGCCCATCTATGTGCAAATAGCGAGCTTGCAACATTAGTTTCTTGTGATGGGAATATCTGCTCTTGGTTTTCCTAAGACATGTATCAGTAACACCCACCTTGCCTGGAAACTCATGAAGTAATAGATCAGCTCAACAACACCGTGATTAAAACAGAACAGTGAGAAAACAGTTGAAATCTGGGAGAGAGACTTCTTAGGATCTGATCTTCCTCTGATCAGGGAAACATGATGATTTTTCACAGAAATGATTAGGTTTCTGAATTCCTATTTCCTTTACACAGGCCCAGCTGATTGATAAGAATTTTATGAACAACTTAAAAGCTGTTCCCTTTGAGTCAGAGGTTTAACTAAATTGAAACTGAGAGTGTTTTCACACATATCAGTTAGCCAAAATAGTGGAATGTAAAACTAGGAAAGTGAGGATTGAGGATTTTTTCAAGCTTTTTATTTGTGATCCTTTTTTTAAGTCACTGAAGGAAAATGGTTTTAAAGTGTGCCCTGGATTCAGTGTGATTCCACCTGTACCTTGGGGAGCAGAGTTGAGCTGCTATGGAGAAACTATTTTGCACCTTGGCACTTGCTATTTGACAGATTTAAGACTTCACTGAAATCTTACGGTAGATATATCAGTTAGGTGGGCACATTGATCAACTCTGACCATAGTGGGTTTTGTTTTGAGGTTTAATCTAGTCATTTAAGTAAAAATAGGTGAGCTTTTGGTTTCATAATACTCATTTTCATCAACTGTTGGAGCATGGCAGCAATTAGAGAATGACACCAAAGGGATATAGACTCATTTGAGGGTCTTTGGAGACATAAGGACCACCTCATGCCTCAAAGGAAGGTGGACAAGCTCCCCTCTTCATTCCAACTTGTGAGTTGCCCACTCAGGAAGGTAGCTAGTCCAGAATAACCACATGTGACAGGCCATCAAGAAACATCTGTTCAATAAATAAGTGGGTGAATACAGAACCTCTCCTTCCCCATGCCTTGTATCTTTAGGCCATAGTTGTAAATCAAAGAAACAGGCCTTCTGCTCTTACAGTCGTAGACACAGTTGGACAGGGCTGACACAACACAAATTA